GGCACAGCTGGCAGCCCAGGCGCGAGTTCTCCCGCAGCAGCGGCGCCTGGTCCAGCAGATCCTCCTCCCTACGGGATTACCGGGGTTACCGGGGGTTCCCGGGGGTTACCGGGGGGTTTGGGGGTGTCCCGGGGGGGTTTTGGGGGGCTCAGGGGGTTTGGGGGCTCGGGCACAGCTGGCAGCCCAGGCGCGAGTTCTCCCGCAGCAGCGGCGCCTGGTCCAGCAGATCCTCCTCCCTACGGGATTACCGGGGTTTACCGGGCTTACCGGGGGTTACCGGGGGGTTCCCGGGGGGTTCCCGGGGGGTTTGGGGGTGTCCCGGGGGGTTTTGGGGGGCTCAGGTGGTTTTGAGGGCTCGGGCACAGCTGGCAGCCCAGGCGCGAGTTCTCCCGCAGCAGCGGCGCCTGGTCCAGCAGATCCTCCTCCCTNGGCTCAGGTGGTTTTGAGGGCTCGGGCACAGCTGGCAGCCCAGGCGCGAGTTCTCCCGCAGCAGCGGCGCCTGGTCCAGCAGATCCTCCTCCCTGCGGGGTTACCGGGGCTTACCGGGGGTTCCCGGGGGGTTCCCGGGGGGTTTGGGGGTGTCCCGGGGGGTTTGGGGGTGTCCCGGGGGGTTCCCGGGGGTCCCTCACCGCTCGTCGGGCGCCGGGAGCCGCTCCAGGTGGGGCTCGCTGATGTAAACGTGGCACGTGGAGCAGGCCAGGGACGCCTCGCAGGCGCCTGCGGGACCGGAGAGAACAACGGGAATACCGGGAATACCGGGAGAGCACCGGGAACACCGGGAGAGAGCCACGGTAATGCCGGGAGTACCGGGAGGGCACCGGGAACACCGGGAGAGAGCCGGTAAAGCCCCGGGAACACCGGGACAGCCCCACGGGAGCGCCGATAGCACCGGGAGAGAGCCGGGAATAGCGGGAACAGCGGGAGAGCACCGGCAGAGGGAGCCGGTAATACCAGGAGAGAGCCGGGAATAGCGGGAGTACCGGGAGAGTACGGGGAGAGTACCGGGAATACCGGGAAACTACCAGGAGAGGGCGCCGGTAATACCGGGAATAGCGGGAGAGAGCCGGGAGAGAGCGCCGGTAACACCGGGAGTACCGGGAGAGTATTGGGAATACCGCGAGAGCACCGGGAGAGAGCGCCGGTAATACCGGGAATAGCGGGAGAGAGCCGGGAGAGAGCGACGGTAACACTGGGAGTACCGGGAGAGTATTGGGAATACCGCGAGAGCACCGGGAGAGAGCGCCGGTAATACCGGGAATAGCGGGAGAGAGCCGGGAGTACCGGGAGAGAGCCGGTAAAGCCCTGGAAATACCGGGACAGCCTCACGGGAGCGCCGATAGCACGGGGAGAGAGCCGGGAGAGTACCGGGAACACCGGGAGAGCACCGGTAAAGCCCCGGGAATACCGGGAATAACGGGAGAGTACCGGGAACACCGGGAGAGAGACGGGAACACCGGGACAGCCCCACGGGAGCCGCCGTTAGTACCGGGACAGGCCTCGGGAACGCCCCGAGAACAGCGGGACAGCCCCGGGAACGCCCCTGGACACCCCCGGGAGCGCCGTTAGCACCGGGAACGCCCCGGTAACACCGGGACACCCCCAGGAACGCCTCGGTAACACCGGGACACCCCCCAAGCGCTGTCAGCACCGAGACCCCCGCGGAGCACCGGCCCCGTCCCGGGAGCGCTCTGTCGGTACCGGGAGCCTCCCGGAGCCCCGAGCGCGCTTCCCCACTCCCGTTCCCGGTGCCGGTACCGACCCTCCAGCTCCAGCCCGTGCCGCTGCGCCAGGTGCAGCACGTTGTCACCGACTCTGCCGCGCACCGGCACCTCCCGCCCCTCCCGGTCCACGAACACGACGTTAACCCTGCGGAAAGCGGGAGGGAAAGGCCGCGGCGGGCTCAGCGCCGGGACTCGCTCCGGTTCCGCCGCGCCGCGAGGGAGTTGCCGGGACTCACACGGCGGCCTCGGGCTGCTCGGCCGCGGCGCCGCCGCCGCTGAGGCCGCGGGAGAAGCCGCGGAGGAGCCGCCGCGTCACGGAGCCGCCGCTCGCCGCCATGGGCGCCGCCATGTTGGGCGCCACGTGACCGCGCCACGTGACCGCCCGCGGGGAGAGGGGCGGGCCAGGGAGGGAGTGGGCGTGGCCATAGAGGGAGTGGGCGGGGCCAGGGAGGGAGTGAGCGGGGCCGGGGAGAGTGGGCGGGGCCAGGGAGGGAGTGGGCGGGGCCTCCGCTGGGCGCGAAAAGCCCGGCCGCGAATTTGGCGGGAAATTGGGGATTTTTGGGGGGAAATTGGGGATTTTTGGGGAGAAATTAAGGATTTTTTTAAATTTTGAGCGAAAATTGTGGGATTTTGGAAGGAAATTGGGGGATTCTGTGGGGAAATTTGGGAATTTGGGAGGAAATTGGGGAATTCTGAGGGGAAATTGGGGAATTTTGGGGGGAAATTTGGAATTTTGGGGGGAAAATTGGGGATTTTTGGGGGGAAATTGGGGATTTTTGGGGGGAAATTGGGGATTTTTTGGGAATTTTGAGGGAAAATTGTGGGATTTTGGGAGGAAATTGGTGAGTTTTGGGAAAAAATTAAGGGATTTTGGGAGGAAATTGGGGAATTCTGTGGGGAAATTTGTGAGGAAATTGGGAATTTTTGGGGGGAAATGGGGGGATTTTGGGAGGAAATTGGGGGATTTTGTGGGGAAATCTGGGAATTTTGGGAGGAAATTGGGGATTTTTTTGAATTTTGGGGGAAATAGGGGGATTTTGGAAGGAAATTGGGAAGAAATTCGGGAATTCTGTGGGGAAATTTGTGAGGAAATTGGGAATTTTGTGGGGGAAATTGGAGATTTTTGGGAAAAAATTTAGAGGATTTTGGGAGGAAATTGGGGAATTTGGGGAAGAAATTGAGGAATTTTGGGAATTTGGGAGGAAACTGGAATTTTTGGGAGGAAATTGGGGAAATTTGGGGGGAAATTAGGGAAATTTGGGGGGAAATTGGGGAATTTTGGGAAGAAATAATGAAACCAGGCTGAAATAACCCAAAAAAAGGAGAAATATAAATAAAATTTTATTTTTGGGGGGGTTGAGGGGAGGGAAGGGGGTGGGGGGGACACGGACCCCCCCAAAATTCCCCTGACAGCAAAAAGAGGAAAACACCTGAAATTCGGGAAAATTGTCCTAAAAAAACTAAAAAAGAAAAAACCAGGAGAAAGAAGGAAAATTTGGTGAATTAAAAAAAAAAAAAGAAAAAAGTTAAAAGTCAATTTTACCCCAAAATAAAAAATTAAAATATTAAAAAATTAAAAGAAAACAGCAAAAAAAGCCAAGCAGTGAAATGTTTAAAAAGAGGGATTGGACCCCAAAAAATAAAAGGGGAAAATCCCCAAAAAATTGAGAATTTCACCCAAAAATTAACCCCAAAATTGGGAAAAAATGGGGGAAAAAAAGGGAATTTCTCCCCAAAAGCAGCAGTTAAGGCAGGGAGCGAATCTGGGGAGCTCCAGGGGCTGCTCTGGGGAGGGGGAGGCAGAAAATTGAAAATAAAATGGCAAAAAATCCCCCAAAATTGAAATTTTTTCATCAGATTTTTAAGGGGTGTCGGAAATCTTAAAACGGCCTCAGAAAAACTTAAAAAACCCCCAAAAAATCCCAAGAAAAGTAAAAAAAAATCCCCCAAAAAAGACAAAAAAAAAAAATTCCAAAAAAATTCCTAAAAAAAATGTACAAAAAAACCCAAAAAACCAAAAAAAAACCCAAAAAAACCAAAAAAGGAACTTAAACAAAAAAAACATATTTTTTTTTGGGATTTTTTTCTGGGATATTTTGGGATTTTCTGGTATTTTTGGGGGCATTTTTTGGGGAAGATTTTTTTTTTCCGTGGGATTTTTTGGGGTTTCTTTTGAGATTTTTTTTTGCATTTTTTTTGTATTTTTGGGTTGATTTTTGGATTTTTTTGGGTGTTTTTCGGTTTTTTTGGGTTTTTTTTGGGGGGGCTTTTTGGCTATTTTTTGTGGGTTTTCTTTGGGAGTTTTTTGGGTGTTTTGGGGGGGATTTTTTGTTGGATTTTTTTTGACGTTTATGGGTTTTTTTGGGGATTTTTTTCAGGTTTTTGAGTGGGGAATTTTTGGGGTATTTTTTAAATTTTTGGGGTGGCTTTGGGTTTTTTGTGGGGATTTTTTGGTTGTGTTTTTTGGAATTTTCTGGGGTTTTTTTGTGGGATTTTTTTGTGATTTTTTTTTAATTTTTTGATGGGATTTTTTGGGTTTTTTTTGTGGGATTTTTTTGGAATTGTTGGGGGGCATTTTTTTGATTTTTTGTGGAATTTTTGTGGGATTTTTTGGGACTTTTTGGTTGGATCTTTTTTTATTTTTCTGGGTATTTTTGGAATTTTTTGGGGTTTTTTTGGTTTTTAAAAAAAATTGGGGTTTTTTTTTTGGAGGCTTTTGAGTGGGGTTTTTTGGGGATTTTTGGGTGTTTTTTGGTGGGTTTTTAAAAATTTTTTGGGGTTTTTTGGTGGGATTTTTTGGGTTTTTTGTGGGATTTTTAGGGACCTTTCGGTTGG